GCCCTTCCCAGGAGGGAGGGAGGGGCAGGGAGGGGGAGGGCCACAGGGGATAGCAGGAGCTGGTCCTTCCCTTGGTGGGTGGCATCAGGGGCCATCTCCTCTCTCCAAATGTACCCTATCTGTCCTCCTGCCCACCAATGGATGTCAAGTCCTCTTGGTCTCTGCCAGACCTGTGGGCTGAGGATCAGATAGCCGCCCACCTGAGGCGCCCTAAGACTGCCCTGTGCTCCCTGGTGCCCTGCCAGGGCAAGACTGGGTCCCAAATCTCAGCCTTAATAGGAGACACGTTGTTGAACCCAGATGACTGCATGACATGTCCCAGCTAATAGAAGACAGCTTTCCAGGCCAAGAAGGCAGGGGCGGGCACTAGGAGCACACACTGTGTACATGCCCGGCTCCGATCCACTTGGGTCAGCCCAGGAACTGGCCGTTTGTAGGCCTCACTTCAAAGAGGCTGCCTGCAAGCTGGAGGGCACCCAGATGCTGTGAGATCACGAAGCCAGTTCATTAGAAGAGGCAGTCTGCTTAGCCTGGAGAGCCTGGACTCCCAGGGGGACCAGATCGCACTTTTCAAAGCGATGAGCCAAGATCAGACGGGGCATGGAGGACACCAAAGGTTTACTCGTGTATGTCTGTGTGGAGCAGCCACAGGCTCACGGATTCTCAGCACTGAATGGACGCTAAGACCCATCCCCACCGATGAGCAGTCCCGGAAGTTTCTGTACATATGAGATGCGTGTGTTTTAGTTTTGGGGTGTTCATGTGTAATGATGTGTGTCATCCACTCACACAACTCTGGCTGAAGGCAGACCACTTGGAGCCACAGATGCCCAAAGAGGAGGCCCACATGGGGGTAGAACCAGCACTAGCAGAACCGGCTTCAAGCACAATGTCCCAAACCTGGAGGCCACGCCTCTTACCGTTCACTGAGCTCTTGGGCTCTGTTGGCTGGTCCGTGTGACTGGCCCATGGCCTTGAGTGACTGATGATGTGCCAGTGTCATAACTAGCTCCTAACACCAGCACAGGAGGCCTGCTGGCATTGCAGGGTCGCTTGAGGGCAGCGCCAGGAGCAGGGCAAAGGAAGGGCTCGGGAGTTCTGGCTCAAGGTGAGGTGAGCATTTCTGTTAGTTGAAGTCACTGCGCCACAGACCAGGCTGATTCTGGAGGGAGTGAGCTCCCCATCACGGCAGAGCAGGACGAGAGGCCGGGACGAGCAGCTATGTGCACGTGATCAAGGAGATGCCTGTCCAGGGCGGGCTGGGGACACTCCGTGGTCTCCGCCTATCTGGAAACCCCACAGGGTCTTGTTCCTGGAGCTCCGAGAATGGGGGAAGTGGAAGCCGAGAGTCGGGGGAGCATGACCACAATGTCAATTCACCAGACTGGCCTGTGCCCAAAGCTCCCATGCATGGAAGCTCACAGGAAGGAGGCTGTCCTCAAACAGGCAGTGCCCAAGCAGAACATGCAGATTCCCTTCTCCAGAAGCATTTCCTCTGGGCGGCATGTCTGGCCCCAGGCAGAGTTGCCCTGTGATGGGGCTGTTGACCATGTGGTCACCAAGGTCCCTGCAGCTGGAGGGTCACAGGACTCAGGTCTCTGGGCTTCAGGCGGTGGCTCCTGGGGCTTTGAGCAGAGTTTGATTTGAATGGTGGAAGGATCCATGGTTTTGGTCCCACGGGGCAGGATGTAGCGGTGAAGGCCAGGAACCTTCTACCAGGAGTTGTCAGACACCTTAGGAGGAACATAAGAGGGAAGGAGCCGGGTCCCTGGTGGGGCAGCTGGGCGTACAGCCTTCCTCAGGGAGCACATCCAGCCTGAATCATCCGTCCAAGCGCACCCGAGCACACCACTCTTCTCAGGAGCTGATATCTGCTCGCGACCTGATTTATTTATTGTCTGGTCCACACTCACTATTCTCTGGGAATGCATCTTTCTTTCTTCCTTTCTTTTTTTGAAGATTTATTTATCTATGCATACAAAAACTGGGGCACAGGCCAGAGGTGCATGGGGTGAGAGGATTCACCAGAGACAGAGTGGGGAGCAGAACAGGGAGACTGACTGAAAGACACTGCTGAGGGGAGCAGCGGGCGAGACAGGAGAGGTCTGCTGCACCATGTGGGTCACCTCCCTGGCCAGGGATCGAACTCATGCCTCAGTGGCTTCAGATAGCTTCACAGTGCTGACACTTAACCCCTTGTTCCACACCAAGGAGGCCCCCTCAAGAATGCAACTTTGATGAAGACAGAGCCTTTTCCTTATTCTCTTCAGTGTGGGACTCCTAAACCATACCTGCTACACAGCAGTCTCAGCAAATGTTCGCTGTTGCTGGGAAGACAATGGTGGCAAGACAGTGAAAGGGACGTGAGAGGAGGAGCAGGGGATGGCCGCTGTAGGTAGCTGCAGTGCCATCTGAGCTGTCCCTCCCTTCTCGACATGAGCCACCCCTAGGGAGATGCTAGCGGAGAGCCCTTTGCAAGCCTGTGGAGGGGGAATTCAAAGCGGATGGCTTCATGGCTGGCAGCCCTCCCTCTCATCACAACGCACGAGGGCGGCCTCAGTTCTAGCCCTCATCAAATGTACGTGGAGTCAAAGAACAAATGGGTGGGCAAGATGGCTGCAAGAATCTTACCCGGCTTGCTCACACGGGCACTGGACCATCAGGCCCCCAAGTTGGACGGCAAGACTAGAAGCAAAGTGAGTCACTGATCGGTCAATTCTCAGGTAGTTTCACCAAGAAACAGCGCAGCCACAAAGAGCTGCAGCCTCCGCGCGTGCCAATTGGAGTGTGAAAGCGTCTGAGTGTCAGTCTGCATGTGTGCGCTTGATTATGTGTATTCAATGTGTGCCCTTCCGAGGGCGTGTGTGTGTGCACACACATGCATGTCTGTGCACACGTACCCCACCCTCCATGTGTGGGAATTCAAATGCAATTGTGCGAGGCAGTGTGTTTGTGCAGAACTGTGTATGAGTCCTTGGCTGCAGAATATGAATTTGCTCTGGTACTATTTTCCTGGTACACGCCCAATCTTGATCCCCTTTCTTCTCGGAAATCCATTACTGAAAGGTTTTTTTTACCCGCCTCCAGGGGGAGGGGTTGGGGGGAAGGGGAAGCTAAAATCACAAGGCCCAGATCAAAACACTCAGCAGCTAAATGAATTCGGCAGCGTTTTCCCGCATGACTTGGAGGGATAATTTAGTGAGGCCGCCAGCTGGAAGGAAAGGGATTAATTCTGCACTTAGCACAGCTCCAGTGAATAATTCATCACTGAGACCTTTGTGCCCAGCCCCTGGGCAAATGCGGAGAGTCCTGCCCACCTGTCTGTTGCCTGCCTGGGTCCTCCGCGCCTTGGCCAGCGGCTCCTGGCACTCCTTGCAGTCCTCAGGACCCACGCCCCCAGTCAGGGTCAGGAGGCAGGGCGAGGTGAGGGCCACTGCCAAGCTGTGCCCACTGGCAGACTCCAAACCACAAGAAAAGGCCCTGGAGAGTTGAATTCCAATCCGTGATATTTGTGACATTTTCCTCTGCTTCCCCTTTCTTGGCATCTTGTGCTACAGGACATTTTCCTCTGCTTCCCCTTTCTTGGGATCTTGTGCTACTCCTGTGTCGTCCCTTCTCAGTACCTTCCTTGGTCTACAGCTAGTTTGGTGATGCCAGGGGAGATGCATCTGCTCTCCCCCAGGAATTACACAGAAGACTCTTTAGCAGGCAGTGCTGATCACTCCACAGCCGGGAGGGCTAATGGAGGTTTTCGGTACCCCCCCGAGGCCTTGAAGCGGGGGAAGGTTTCTAGGCTGGTACCTTCCCAGACGTATCCCTCATCCCCCACACCATGGACTTCCTCGTACTCTTCACAGACAAGGTCGCAGGGCCGAGTATTCCTCCAGACTTGCTGGCTAATTTTTCCTGGCATGGGAAGGTGGCAGGAAGGGCTGACCCTGACATCAGGCCCTGCAGGCATCTCCTGGGTTCACGGCCCCAAACTGCCCACATCCCCCTTCATGCCTTTTCATCACCAGAGGAAGGAAAAAGGAAACATTCCAGCAGGTGCCTGCCTGCCAGGCGCCCTGGAGCTAACGCCTGGGATGCAGACTGGACTCAGAGCCCAGATGTAGAGGAAGCGATTTTCCATCAGGCAGGGCTTGGCCCCTGGTATTTTTCCACTTGAACCAACCCAGTGTGCTAAGAAGGATCCCAAAAATGGGCCCCCGAGATTCCACATGGGAATTCCTGCAACCCCCACCTGTGACAACTGTCACGCCTGTGCTTGTGTGAAATTGCCCCACAGACCACAAGACAGGGCCTATCAGAGTGAGCCTGAGCCAATCACATGGGCTCTGTCCAAGCAGAGTCTGCGCCGGCTGCCAGCAGAGGAGGAAGTCAAAGAGGGTGAGTGTGAGGGTATCCACATCCCGCTGGCTTGGAGATGGAGGAGGCCACGTGAGAAGGGACATGGTGGCTTTCAGGAGCCACGGCTGACAGTCAGCAAGGCAGTGGGGACCTCCTTCCCCCAACTTCAGGGACCTAGATCCTCACAGCAACCTCAATGAGCCAGAAGCACCCCCTTCCTTAGGGCCTCCAGAAAGGCACACCACCCCGTCAACGTTTTGCTTTCAGCCGTGCTGTCGGCTCGCCTGCTTGTAGAAGGGTGAGCTCATACTTGCATGCAGTCTTTAAGCAGCTAAGTGTGTTGTGCAACAACAGAAACTGACAACCTGCTTTGCCCCTCGACCCTCATTCCAGTGCGCCAGGCTCAGCTTGGGGTGGGCTAGAGGCGGATTCCCAGGTGCGGGGCTCTGCCTCGCCCTCCTCTGCCACGGCATTCCCACTGGTTGTCCGGAGCTTCAATCCCACTGAGACATCCCCACCCAACGCAGCAGCCCTCTCCGGCCCCCCGTCTTGAGCGAGGTCAGCAGTGGTAGGAGGTGGAAGCTCACTGGGGCCTGCGGGGGCCGGCACGGGGCTGCTAAGTGCTGGCCCTCCCCTGACCGTAGCCTCACCTCGGAGGAAAGCAGCTGGAAGGAGAGATCCACCGTGGGGGCCTTGCCGTCTATGGTCTTCAGTTTGGTGTCCTGGGGGGAAGAAAGGAGACATGAGGCCACTGGGCAGCTTCTGCCTCTGCTCTGCCTCCTTGCCCTGCCTACTGGGGTCTCTGCCCGGGGAGTTGGGGACAAAGGGGGAGAGGCGGAGTAGCCTCTACCCCCACTGCCTCCACCTCTCCCCCCCAACTGCCTCCCTGACCAGCACCTCCAGACTAGCGTCCAGGCGCAGGCGCGTTTGTTGAGGTCTGTTCTGTCAGGATGGCCGCACATTTTTTAGGGCAAAGGGTGGCATAGAAATAGACAAAAATGACAAGGAGGGAATTAATTCCGAACCTATTGTTCCATGGGCTTTACGGGTGTTTCCTCACAAAAACTCACAGCCGCACTACGAGAAAGGTCTGGTCACAACATCCCCATTTCACACACAAGGAAGCAGAGGCACCGAGGCCTTCGTTTTCCCGAGGTCGTGCAAGTTCAGTGGTGGAGCCACAATTTGGACCTTAACTCATCAACAGGGATTGTGCCCGACATGTTGCTCCTGACTGAGAGCCCTCAGGCTCGGAGAGGTAAAGTAATTTGCCCTGGGATCCACAGCGAGGACCAGGGCACCAGGGCGAGTCAAGCCCAGATTTGCATGGTGAAAGGCCACCGCAAGACCTCCCTGGAAGTTGCTCAACGGCACTTTCATCACAGCCCCTGGGCGAGACTGTTTCATGCTCAGGGGGCTCCTCACACCTGGCGGGGGTGGGGGGGCGCTGGTGCCTGCTCCTGGGGAAGCCTGTGTTGGTGGAGTGGGGTGGGGGCTGGGCCGGGGTGGGGGACTCACAGTGATGGGGAGTCGCTCCACGTGCAGCCCCTTCAGGCCTTCCCCGGCCATCATCTTGCGGTACAGACGGCTCCTTAGTGGCAACACGGAGATGCCCAAGGGCTTGCCGAGGGTCCAAGGCTCACTGCCTCTCACTGCAGGGAAGGACCAGCTGGGGCTCCCGCCAAAGCCCTCAGGCTGGACCTCTCCCACCCCAGCCTCCAGGTCCCCTTGGGGGCCAATGATGTCCTACCCCTGGTTCCCCCTCTGCCACCACCCACCTGTTTGCTGCCTCCTGACCGTCCCCTGAACCAGTAACCCCTTGGCTGCTCTTCAGAGTTTCCCGAGTTCAAGGCCAGTTCTAGACATAGTCTGTGTCGCTGGGTGTTGAAATGGATCTCCCTTGTCTCTGCCATTTCGGGGCTTCAATCTCACAGTGCGGAACTAAGACTCGCCCGCCCCCAGCCCCCAGGCTTGTCCTGTCCTCCCACCTAGCTCATGAAGGTGCATGGGGTGGGGTCGCGGAGCAATAAAAATGCACAGCTCTGGGGTGGGAAAAGGACCCAGGGGCGCAGGCCCAACCCCTGCCCACTGTCTGCACACCCCAGGAGGCCACCTGAGCTTGGGGTCCCCTAGTCTACCCTGGCAGGAGGCAGTGACGGGGGCGCCTGAACACCCTGCTACAGGCGCCCTGATCCGCGGCTGCCCAGGCGAGCAGGGGGCGCGTACGTGAAGGGGAGGAGTAGTACTCCAGCACCACGGCTGTGTCTTCTGAGAAGCTGGTGGCTCCGTCCCGGCCTTGGAAGAGGAAGGACTGATCCCACAGGGGCAGCTCCGGCGGCCCGCCTGGCTTGGCCAGCTGAAGAGAGAAGGTGGGAGCAGGTGGTGGGGCCACCGCTTTCCCCAAATCAAGGGACGTCTGGCTGTTTGGTTGTGTGTATGCTTACACGTGTCACAAATGTTTGTCCCAATTATAGCAGCAGCACACGCTCAACGGATGCATTTTGGAAAAAACAGAAAAGTCAAAAGATTGAAAAAAAAACTTACACTAACGACAACTGTTCGGAAGACTGCGTGTTTATGTTTTCTCCCTGCGCCTGCTTTGCATGGCGTTGTCAGCCTGACTTGCTGCCTTCCTCATTACCACGAAAACCTGGAGTCAAAAGCACCCCCGCGGGCCCTGACTGCAGCAGGCTGGAGAGTCTTCCGTGCCCCAGCGCCCTGGCTTCCCCCACAGCCCTGCACTCAGAGCTCCTTGCACATCTCTGAATCCACATTCTCTCGCCAGGCCTGACACCCAAATGCAATCGCTGAGCTAAAGGATGCATATTTTTAAGTACTGGATCTGCCATGGGTAAACCATTCCCCTAAGGTGTGGCACCAGAGTTCACTGCCATGGCCGGTGGCACCACAGACAAATTAGATGCGACTTCTACCCTCGTCACCAGCCCTTCTCTGCCCACTTCGGTTCCTTGGTCCCTCAGATGCCATGGCAGATTCTCGAGCATGGTACGTGCGGAGGGCAGGCCGCCAGGCCTGTGGGGATGTGATGGCAGACTGGGTCAGCAGTGGGGCACAGGTGTGGGTAATATTTAAACAACAAAATGAGACAAGATTAACTACAGCCTCCAACTATGGGGTTATAGGCAACATTTCCATGGGTGCTAGGAAAAGCCATCTTAAGAAAGATGATGCAGAAGAAAGCTCCACAGGAAGACTTGAAAGTGAAGGGAGGGAAGGTCTTCCAGGTGGCAAAACAGCCCAAGCCGAGTGTGGAGGTGGCACCAAGCACAAGCGGGGAGGATGCCTGTATGGGGACGGTTCCAGGTGGAGGAGGCCCAGCATCTGCAAAGGCTGAAGGCAGGGCATGGGGAATGGGGGGCCACCCAACAAGGTCCCAACCCAGAGAGGTCGGGGGTTATGGGCCAGACTTTCCAAGTGGCTGCCTGGCCTCTGCCCCCAGGGAGGCTGTCAGCAACAGTGGCAGCCGCTCTGCTCCTGCTTCGGCCTCCTGTTCCCCTGCGGGCATTAGTCACTGCTTGAAAAGGTCAGCACAAATGCACCACCAGCTCCACCAGTTATTGATGCGAGATGGGGGAATATCAGAGCGGGGCCACTCCCACCGCAGGGGCAGGCCCTGATGCCTGTCACATTAATGTGCTGCTCTGCGTCTCCCAGGCCCAGTCTGAGGCTCAGCTGTGTTTTCTCTTTACTTTAGGAGGTGGGTGACAGTAACTTTGGGGACAGGGGCTCTCGAACACAGAAGCAGTGACTGGGGTGGTGGGCGTGTTCCTGAGTACAGGCTCTGGGGACCCCCGGGGACAGCTATGGGGCCACCAAGCCAAAGAAGCTGCCTTCAGGTTCTGTGGGCCTGGGAGCAGTCTTATGATGGCTGCCCAAACCCTGCCCACCTCTGAGCCTCCCCATTCTCCTGGGTTCCAGAGGGGAGCCACATGGCCTAGGCCATCTACCAGGCACTGAGGGACTCCAGAAGGACCTGTGTCCCAGTCCCCCGCTGCCCCAGCCCTTGCTCCCACCTGAGATTATTTAAGATTTATTTTATTTATTTGTGCATGTAAGAACGGGGTCTAGTCCAGAGATGCAAGGGGTGAGAGGATTCACCAGAGACAGAGTGGGGAACAGAACAGGCAGACTGACCAAAATACACTGCTGAGAGGAGCAGCGGGTGCGGCAGGAGAAGTCTGCTGCACCATGTGGGTAGCTCCCTGGCTGGGGATCGAACTCGTACTGCAGTGGCTGCCAATAGCTTGATAGTGCTGAGACTTCACCCTTGTGCCACCAGGGAGGCCCAGAAAAGGGCTATGTAATGGCTGCCAGCTGGCCTCTCTAGGGCCTATTAATGGTCTACATGGAATCTACAAAGCAAGAAATGCCCACTAAGGGCAGATCCTTGCCTGAATGGTTTCCCAGGACGAGTGCCCCAGGAAAGATGCCTTCAGATCTAGAATTGGGCAGGACAAAGGGTGTAAGGAGTCAAGTTAAATGACCTGCAGTCTGATGTCAGGCCCTGGTGCAGGTGCTGTAGGTGCGTGTTTGGGGGAGAGGGGCTGTGAGTGGAGGGGCCCGGGGGTGGCCACTGCCTAAAGATGCTAATGGGAAAGGCTGTGGCTGGCTGTGTAATCGGGAACTGTGATAAAACCTCAGCTGTGATCTTCGGCAAGGCCATTAACTCCCCCTACCACTGAGGCGGACCTTCCTTCTCTGGGGACAGAGCCCTCATTCCTCTGGCCCATGGCCCCTCATAGCCCCCCACGGCCCCTCCTCCCATTTCCCCTGGCCCATGGCCCCTCACGGCCCCTCTTCCCATTTCCTCTGGCCCATGGCCTCCCACAGCCCCTTCTCCCGTCCAGGCACAGTGGCGCCATCCTGGAAGGACAGATGCAAGCAGCGGGTGCTGGCGCAGGGCGGCAAGGCTCTAGGACCCCTGGCTCTGCCTTAACCTCGCTCTGTGACCTGTGGCAAATCCCTTCCACTCTCTGGAAACTTGCTTGTCATTGTCCAGGGGGAACACGCCTAATGCCCCGAGCCTTGTGAGGCAGTTGTGAGGGTTGAAAGAGATCGTGGATATTTTGCTGTGAAGATGCAAGTTTAATTCAATTGAACTCAACAAATGTTGATGAGGGTGCGGGGGTGGGGGTGGGGCTTTCTATGCCAGGTGTTTCTGGGATGCTGCCGGGCATCAAGGGGATCTAGAGTCTGATCCTGTCTGTTCTGGAGCTCGTAGTTTCCCAAGGGGATAGAGCATCACGCGTGTGTGAACACACACACACACACACACACACACACACACGATGATCCATGAGAGGCTTTAGCAAGTTGTGGGGTGTGGGAACTAGGATGTCTTAAGAGAAATCTGTGACTTCTGACACGTTGAAGGGAGTATCAGAGGGGTGACAAAGTAGGTAAGCAGGGACAAGGCCACTCAGCTGACAGCACAGCAGAGGCAAAGACTGGGAGCTGCGAGGACGGCCAGTCACCCGGGGGGCCGGGGAATGCCGGAGTCAGGAGGCTGGGGGGAACAAGGCCTGTGCACCTGCTGACCCTGAGGGTTTTGTCCTGTTGGTGACAGGGACACGGGATCCCCAGGAAGGGCCCAGCCCCGGGCAGGGTTGTGTGACTGCTTCTCAGAGGATGGACGGGAGGGGCCAAGGTCAGGCAGGAGAAGGTGAGGCCAGCACTCGGGTGGGTCTGCAGGTAAGAAAGGGCCCCACGAGAACTTGCGGACAGGCTGGCTCTGGGGGCTGAGCCCCAAGATGGCCCTCGGCACACAGCTTTTCCACCATTGCCGTGTCACTGGCCAGGCGCTCTGCCTCTGCTCTGTGGGTGCTGGGCCACAGAAGCAGCCTGAGACAATGGCTGCCCTCAGGGGTTCAGGGAAGGATAACCCTAAGCCCTGTCTTATGTTAGGTCCCCCAGGCTGGGTTGGGTCAAGCCCCACTGTCCACGGACCCCTCAACTCATTCGAGCTCAGATTTTGCCATCATCACCAGTTCCAGGAGGGGTACCCCCCCCAACCAATCCTCTCCCTTCCTCATAGACAGAGAAGCCCACCCGCCTGCCTTAGCGACCCCACAGGGAGTGGCACCTGCCTCCTCGGTGACTGGCAAGAGAAATGCAGGAGACCCAACGAGATGAAAGGGGAGGGCTGCGGGAGGCTGCCAGCGAGGGCTCCAGCTCCTCCTGAAAACCAGGAGGCCCCTCTTGCCCTGGTCTTTGTCATGCGTGGGTCAGGTGCCCAGGACCTGGATCTGGCCTGAATTAGCTGCTCCCATGAGCTGTTGGCCAGGTAAAGGTGGCAATTCAGAGATGCTGGAAAATCCTGAGTCTTGATGACGCCGGGGCAGTGCACCTACCAATCCTGGTAGCACCCAGCCGCGGGACAAAGTGGGATGTGTGACCACAAATATCTTTAGAGTTTAAGTTGATATGAGTTGGGATTCTTTTTTTTTTTTTTTAAGATTTATTTATTTATTTATTTATTTATTTATTTATTTATTTATTTATACAAGCACTGGGTACTGTCAGAAGTGCGGGAGCATAGGAGAATTCACCAGAGCCAGAGCGGGGAAAAGAACAGGCAGACCAACGAAATACACTGCTGAGGGGAGCAGCGGGCGGCAGGAGAGGTCTGCGCACCATGTGGGACCCTCGCCTGCGGCCGGGGATCGAACCCGCGCTGCAGAGGCTGCAGGCAGCTTCACAGACCAGCTCTCAACCGCTGCGCCACCAAGGGAGGCCCTGAGTTGGGATTCTATGACTGTCACTCGGGCAATGGCATGGTGGACCCCAGAGGGGGCATTTGGCAGCAGGGGAGGGCAGCTCTGAAAGGGGTGGGCCTTGGGCTTGGACACTTCTCACAGGTTACCCTTTATGTTCTCCTCACAGCCCAGTGAGGCCGGGACTGGAGAAGTCAGCCTGCCAGAGGTCACACAGCCAGTAAGTCACAGAGCAGAGCCCAAACTCAGTGTGCTGGCTCTCAGATCAAAGGCAATGCTTTGGCCTGCTGAGCAGTTGGTGAGCGATCACTGCACCTCAAGATATTCAAGAGGGGCCCTAGACATGGCGTAATCCAACCATCACCCCCTCAACTGAAGAGATTCAGGGCTGGAGCTCAGAGAGGAGAAGGGCAAAGTTTCTGTGTGAGCTCTGAGCTGAGAGCTGCAAATGGGTCTCCTTCCAAGTAGGACGCCGCCTCATGCCCCTCTTTGTACCACCTCAGCCTGCCCCTGTCCTCCCACTGCTGGTTCCTGGGCACCTCTGTGCCAGCTGCCAGTGAGTTCTCAACCTGGCCCAGCTGCCATAGTGCTGAGAGACCTTAGACAAGTGTCCTGCCATTGTGGTACCTCTGGCCTAGAGCCCCACCCATGTAAGAGGCACTGGGGGCAAGGCTGTGCAGTGAGGCTCCCCCCCACCCCCAGACTGGTTAGGCAGCACAGGCAGCCAGACAGGGCTCGGGGGAGGGGGCCAGTTATTAAAACAGGCAGCGCCTCCTGCCCCTTGGGACTTGCTGCTGATTGGTTCATAATTTTCTGGGCAAATGCAGGGCCATGTATGAGATGACTCTGGGGAAATCAGGCTGAGGATTGGTTTGGGTTTGAAGCCTCTGTCCCCAGGGTCCTCCTTTGTCCCACCCTCCCCTCCACCATTACTCTTGCTCGTGTCTGGGCCTTCTTCAAATGTCTGTGCCTTTGAATGAAGACTGAGACTCCGAAGGGGTCTCTTGCCAGACATGAGTGCTGGTGGGCAGGCAACAGGAAGGACACACAGACATCCCTGTCCTCTTCAAGGCCTCCAGGAATGTTGGGACCATCATGTGGGGCAAGCTCCCACTGAGGTGCAGACTGCGGGAAGGGGGCATCAAAGCCATCCCCTGCACCCAGCCAGATCCCCTGCCCCACAGCCCCAAACACACACTCTCCTCCCCACCCCCACACCTGCGCATTTATTGTTCCAGTCGCCCTGCACCAACATTCCCCTAGGGAGAACTCCCCTAGCGCGCCCCTAGAGCACCATCTGTATCAACCGGACTTCACATCCCTCCTGCCTCTGATTACAAAAAAAAATTTTGGTAAAATATACACAACATGCATTTTACCACGTTAACCAATATAAATTGCAATTCAGTGGCATTAAATACATTCACAGGGCCTCCCCTGGTGGCGCAGGCTGTTGAGCACCATGCTGTGAAGCTGTCCACAGCCTCTGCAGCACCGGTTCGCGATCCCTGCCAGCCTCGGAACAACCCACATGGTGAGCAGACCTCTCTTGTCTCGCCCGCTGCTCCCCTCAGCAGTGTATTTCGTCAGTCTGCCTGTTCTGTTCCCCGCTCTGTCTCTGGTGAATCCTCTCACCCTCCCACGCATCTGGCCTGTACCCTGGTTCTTGGATAAAATAAATAAATAAATCTTTAAACATAAATAAATAAGTATATAAATACGTTCACAGCGCTGTAGAACCTTCACCACTATTTAATTCCAGAGCTTTCTCATCACCCCAGAAACTGAGTACTTGTTGAATAATAACGCCCCATCCTGCCATCCTCCCAGCCCCTGTTCCAGAGCCACTATTAGCCTTTCTGTCTCTGAATTTGCCTCTTCTGGGCACTGCACGTAAGTGGAATCACACTAGAGCAGCCTTTCCTGCCTTCTCTGGTCTTCAGGGCTCTACATTCCCTCCCAGTTTGTCACTGCAGCATATACAGTTTCTTGTTGTTGATGCTTAACGTTGTTATACGACAACTCCCATCTCCACTGACCAGGCGTCCCTGAGGGCGGCTCATCTACAGCAGAGAGCAGGGTCCTGGGTGCACAACCCAGGCCCAGGAAACTTACTGAGCAGCCACATGAACAGCTGAGTGGGTGAGTGGCTGACGGAAGGGTTACTGGGGCGAGGAACCATCAAGTGGGCATGGGGAGGAGCCGTACCTGAGGGTACCCGGTGCTGCTGACCCGAGGCACATCAAAGCTCATCGCTGATGGGAGAGGGAAGTAGAGGGGTGTGATGGGCAGCCCCAAGGAGGCTGGGTCCTGCTTTATCTGACTGACCCTGGGGAGACAAGGAGATGTGTCAGCAGAGGAGGGCTGAGGGGGGCCGGCACTCCAGGTTCTGAGTGCAAGCCTGGCAGCCGAGGGCTCCCACGGGACTTTGGAGCGATGCAGATAGGCAGGAGAGAGCAGTGCCCACCTGGCTCAGGCCTGGACACCTGGACAAGGTGGTGTACCCCGACCTCCTGAGCACTGGCTTTAGGAAAGCTCCTTTTGGTCAGGAGATAATGGCAGGCCCAGGTTCCCTTCCCATAACTCACCGTGGCCTTGGCCACATCTGGATGCTTCAACTGGTCTATCTTTAAAATGGGCCTCTCACATCCCTGGCTCACCTTTGAAAGATCTTGCCAGAATGACCCACCCCCATGGGGTATCCTGGTTTAGGCTTGGGGGACATAGAGGCTGCAGGGGCAGGACTCAGGGTGTGGGGGGTATGTGTGTGAGGGGGTGGATATGAGTGTGTGTGCGGCGGGTGTGTGCACACTCAGCTCCCAGGAGAGCTGGCGGTGAGTGTGTTCGCATCTTCCTTCCTCCAACAAGCAGGGGGAGGTCAAGGTCATCAGCACTTAACAGGTGGAGGGTGAGTCAGGGCAATCTCTCAGGCCATCAGAGTCAGTGGAAGTGACAGAGGCAGACAGCCGAGCCCCAGGAGGCAGTGTTGTCACATGTTCCCTGCACTGTGCGGCCTCCGTGGCCAGGAGCCCCAGTCTGTCCTGAGGCTGAGACTCCAGTGAACCTCAATAGAAGCTGGGGAAGAAGGGGATGAGCCCACATCAGGGCCAGGGAGCCCTCCAGAAGGGCACTCCTAGGCAGGGCTAAGAGTTCTGAGATGTTCTGTGGTGCCCCTTAGGCTGCCTTGTCTGGGGACAACCGCCACTGGGGCCTCCAGCCTGAACTAGAGCGGGAGTGGGGCTGTGAGTGGGGTGGCAGGTTTGGAGGGGCTGAGGGCACCTCCTCCACCTGCTGCTTCCCACAGGCTCCCCTCAGGTCCGGGTACACCACCTGTCCAGGAGTCCAGACCCAAACCAAGCTGCCCCTTTCCAGGGACCACGGGCAGCTTCCTGGGACCTGCACCGATTAGGAGGCGCCACGGACCCTGGAGGAGGGTGGGGCCAGGGCTCCTGGAAGCAGCCCGTGTAGCCGTGTCAGCCTCCCCTCCTCACCCGCGCCCCCTGGGCCCCACTCACTTGAAATCCTTGTAGTTGGGGACCACCCGGGCAACGACCACCATGGGGTTGGAATTGTTGACCAGAGGCTCATTGATTCCCTGGAGAAAGATCTGGGGGAGAAAGGAGGCGGGTGAGCCCGGAGGCCGTCTTTCCGCCCCGACACTGGTCACCCCGGTCACCCCGCCTGCACGCCTCTGCCCAGCTCCGCCTGCTCCTGCCTCGGGCGTCCTTGCTCTGTTCAAGGCTGTCCTCCCCTAGACTTGCTGAGGCAGTTCCCCTGGTCTTCTGTCCTGCACATTCAGCAGCGGGTCCTGCAAGCAGCCAGCCTCGGGGCAGGGGAGGAGAGCAGGGCCCTGGCGGGCGGGCGGGAGCGCTGCATTCTGGCCTTCGCCCCTCAGCTTCGCCTGGGGCATCGAGGTTAGGGTCAGGTGCTCCGGCCTCCCTCAGGTTCTCTCAGTCAAGGGGGCACCCCTTGTCCCAGCCCTCCCGCGACCGCGGGTTATCGCTGAGGAGAATGTCTGTGGGAGGGCGCTTTGTAAACTGAGTGTCCTCACACCCAAGGTCTGCTTCCCCCGACTCTTCCCTCCGGGCTTCCCGAGGTCAGAGGTTACAGTGGAGGCCTCCCTGGACCCCCCCGGAGCCCCTCTAGCACCTGCTCACAGCTGCGTGTTGATAAGGACTGAAATTTGGGAAGGAACCACACACATCAGCACCTCCGGGCTCCTCCTCCTCCCGCATCACATCCGTGGTCTCCCCCCAACCTCCTCCAGTCATCTTCTCAGTCCCCTGTCACCTCCTAAGGACCTTCCTGTGCCCCAGCCCTGACCACCACCTCCCCTCCTCTGGAGTTCTGTTGGCACAGCTTTCAGGAGGCACCAACAATTGGGGGGCTCCCAGAAGGGGCAGCAGAGAGGAAGGTTGAGGGTGGCGCAAAGGCTTGGGCCCAGGCCTTGCCGCCTACCACTGTGTCTAGGCCCAGGCCAGGCATTGGGGAGCCAGGGGGACAAAGACACAGACTGTCCCCACCTCCACCTCCACAGTCATCCCAAGAAGCTCCTGATCTCGCTCCTCGCCTTCACCCCTTGTCCACCAAGGTGTGCCCCTCATTCTCAGCCCTCATCCCTTCTTCTGAAGCTGGACCCCAGCGGTACCTAGAGGTTGCAGGGCATGGCTGGCTTTACCTTGGTCCTACTGCCTCAGTGGTGGGGCATGGCAGCTTTGCTGGGGCTGAGACGCATTGCCCGAGCCAGCCGCCTGTGGGCAAGCCCCTCCCCTGGCCTCAGCTGTGCAGGCTGCCGGCCACCCTAGTGTGAGCAGCCCCACTGGGGCTCTGGCAGCTTGCCCCAGAACATGTTCCCCACAGGGAGCACCCAGACCACTCCAGTGGTGGTGGCAAGGGGGGAGGGGTGCCCCACCCCAGAGCAGGCCAGCTCTGGGGCTTCAGCAGTGGAGGTGACCATAAGCTCCTGGTTCAGGTCTGTGGAGAGTAGTGTTGGGCCCTGCTGGGGCAGCACAGGTGTTGCAGCTCCCTGAAGCTTCAAGGAGAGGCCCGCAGCACACCAGGCCAACATGGCAGGCTCCCAGTAGCAGCCCACCCCACAGTCACTGGGATCCATGTCTGAGTGCTGCTACAGGGTCCCCTGCAATGCTAAAGCCCACCCTGCTGAGGGGAGCTGGGTGCAGTGTGCCTCCGGCTTCACTGAGGCCAGCTCCAACCCACAAATCTTCCCTGATCTCAGTGCAGGTTAGAAAGGGAAAGGGAATCTTTTTGGAAAAGGGGATCTAGTGCCAGGATTATAAATGAGCCAAGCTCAGGTTCAAGCTCTCCAGCTGTCATTCAAACCTTGAGCTCATTTATGGGGCTTGAAAAAGTTGGGGCCTCCCCGGTGGCGCAGCGGTTGAGCGCTGGGTTGCGAAGCTGCCCGCGGCCTCTGCGGCGCCAGTTCGATCCCCGGCTGCTCCCCGGCCACCGGAGGAGGGTCCCACATGGCGCGCAGACCTCTCCTGCCGCCCGCTGCTCCCCTCAGCAGTGTCCTTCGGTCCGTCTGCCTGCTCTGCTCCCCGCTCTGGCTCTGGTGAATTCTCTCACCCTCCTGTGCTTCTGACTGTACCCAGTGCATGTATAAACAAAACAAACAAATAAATAAAGCGTGCCTCTATAAAAAAAAAAATTAAAAAAAAAAAAGTAGAGCAAGCTGATTCATGTTTCACAGGCATCAATCAAACTGTTAGGATTAAAAACAGTCCAATCAGGCTTGTAGGCTGAGAACCCTGAAGAAGATCTACGCAGAGCCAATGGCCAACTTGACTGATTCAGCAGATGGGCTTTGAAGAAGCAGCATTCAGAAGATGACCTCTGTGGGATTCAGCAGACTTCCTCCGACTGTGCAAACCTTTGCTGACTTCCAGACTTTTGCAGGTTTCCAGACCTCTATAGATCTTCACAGAGGCTTGGCCTCTGCACCTGCTTCTGGCCCTGCCTCTGACTGCAGCAAGTAGCACTGTTGGCCTGGGCCTTGTGCCACAAATAGCTGTTGGCTAATGCCAATAGCTTGCAAAGAGCTAAAACACTGGTGTCTCTGACACCACCTCCTGGTGACCAGTGCATACCAGCACTGCTGACAGGTGTCTGGCACTGTGTCTGGTCCCCTTTAAGAGCTCACTGCTTGGGATTGCCCAGCACTACCTCCTGGTGCTGTTGAGCCCAGCACTGTCCGGCCTGGCATCTGGTGCTGTCTAGCCTGGCCTTCACACTGTTGCTGTGGCTGCTGCAGTATCCCCTGAGCAGCCCCACCAGTGATCACCTCCAGCTGCCACCATGAGTTGGATCCTGGTCCACTGCCAAGCAGTGTACCATGGGCTCCAGGCTCTTGTCAAAGAGGCAGTGCCATATTCCATGAGCAGCCTTTGTTTGGAACTACTGGACACTGCAGACACTAGCTGGGGTGACACAGCTGGCCACATGTGGCCTTAAAAACGCTTCTATTTTTCCCAATCCTCTCTTTGTTAATAAACCCTATTGGTGTTGCTCCCTAAGCTTGGTGGTCTTAGAATTGTCAGGGAACTGGTGAGGACCCACAAACGGTGACCTGTTCCCCTCCTCTGGCATTGTGTTAAGTACTGTTTTGTTACCACTCTGACCTCTCACTGGCCTCTGATTTTACTCCTGCCTCCAGCCTTTCCCAAGCAATTTGATACATGGTGGCAAAAGCTGCCTTCTCAAATGAATTGGGTCACGTCATTCCTCTGCCTGAGATCCTGCAATGCTTTCCCTCCCACAGCTGCCCGCAGAATGAATTCCATAATTCTTACCATGACAGCCAGCAGACCAGCTGTGTGTGTTGGCCCGCTTGTCCCCAGTCCTCCTCTTTGGCCTCACCCCTTCCACATGCACCTCTTGTATCTGTCCCAGGGTCTTTGCACATTCCGATCCCTCTGCCTAGTCTCCCCAAGCCTGCCCCGCCCACTCCCCGGGACTGGCCCCTTCTTTTCCTTCGGATCATAAATGCCACCACCTCCGAGAGGCCTTCTGGGAGCGCTCTGACTAAAGTAGGCCACCCTGTTCCCTCTCCTTTATTGCCTCTTCTGATAGCTTGTGTTTATTCCAATTTCTTTCTTGTTGATTTCTGACTAGAATCAGGCCCCACAAGGCAGGGTGTGGTCTAGCTCATTCACTGCTGTAGTCCCAGCTTTTAGCAAAAATGTTGGCACTGAGTAGGAGCTGTGTGTGTCAGTGGGATTAATGAGTGACATTTTCATGAAGGAGAAAAGAGGGTGAAATGGGGTGGGGAAGGCTGACCGTGTTTGTGAGTGTGATAGAGAAACAGATGTGGGAAGGGCTGGGTGGAGCTGGGAAGGGCTGGGAAGGGCTGGGTGGAGCTGCTCTGGGAGGCTGGGCGGGGATCCGGACTGTGTGCCGCAGATGGAGAAGAGCAGAGAGAGGAAGGGGCTCTGGACCAGCGGAGGGCCATGCCTCAGGCACACCTCAGGCTGGGAAAGGCCCCAGCTGCTCACCCCAGCTCAGCCACTCACCCCGGCTGGGTCACTGACTGCGGCCAATCCCTGGGCCACACTGAGACTCAGTTTCCCAACCTGAATGCCGAGGGTTGGGACCACACTCTGTCTGCTCCTTCAGGTGCTGACCTTCCGTGGGAGGAGAGGGTGTGAGAGTGGGGGCTTCCTCTGGATCCCTCTCCCTTCCTCCTCCGCCCACCAGCACCTTTCCTAAACCCCTCTGCCAGCACCTGTCTCAGCTAGTTGCCAGCTACCCCTATACAGGTGTGAGCTGATAGGCTGAGAATAGTCTTCCCGTTCTCTTTGGGGCCTGTGGAGACTGAGCTCCGCATCAGAGTCAAAATACTGCGTCTCTGACTGGGCTTTTCAAACTTTCAGTGGGGTGGGGGTAAGGCCTGAGCCACTTCACTGGAGAGTTGTCGGGTTCTACTGCGCCCAGGATGGGGAGGGGCCTCATTTACACCTGCTCTGTGCTGCTGCTGGTCAGGTGCGAAGGAGACTGCTGCCCAAGCACACCTGCTCACTATAGCCGGGTGCGTAACAGAAGCAATTTCTTCTGCAGTGTTCTCAGGTCCGCCTTCAGGGCAGACAGGGAGGACATCTGTGCTGGGCCGGGTTCTGGAGGGCAGAGAAGCTCATAATCTCTGGGCAAATCAGAGGTCTGGTGTGGGGCTGGGGCAGAGCCATGGGGGTTGAGGAGGAACTGCAGGTCAAGCTGCTGCCTGGGTCTTGGGGCATGTGGCCACCGCCCTGGGGGATGTGGCCCAGGGGACAGCAAGCCCAAGCCGCTATCACTCCTCATTCCATGTGCACATGTGTGTGTGCATGTGCACATGCTGTGGGCTGTCCTCAGAGAAGGACAGAAGATAGAAGATCTATTAGCCTACATGCTAATAGCTAGGGGTGACCGTGAAGAGGCAGAGATGTGGCTCAGGGCTTCGGGGTTGCCATAGTCAACTCCAGTCTCCCCTTGGGCCTCAGTATCCCTGCTGTGAAATAGCGTTAAAGAATTCTCCTACCCCCCACCCCCAGGGCTCTCAGTGATATGGGGTGAATCAGATCAGCCATATTGGGGCCCAGAGCTTGGCTGACTCCACCCTGGTCATTCACAGGTTGTGGTGGGATTTGAATCTGTCACCCCTGGTAGATTTGAAGGCTGGGGGAAGGAGAGCATTGCCGGTTCTCCTGAGGCTTTTGAAAAGGCATCAGATAGCAGGTAATGGGGAGGGGGTGGCACAGGGGGCAGCGTGTCCAAGCTGGGCTCAGCCATGGCTCAGCTAATGAAAGAGGCTGATTGAAAAGTTATGAATGAATGAATGAATGAATGAATGAATACCTAATTGGAAGACCAGCCCAACCTCTCCAGGAACAGGACTCGAGAAAGGACGGGAGGCCTTAAAATTTTTGCTTCAGTTATAAATCAGGGCTGATTGCTATGGAAGGAACAGGATGGGAGAGAAAACTGCCAGGACCAAGGTAAGAGGGGGCTTTTTCTTCCCCCCAAGAGATTCAGGGAGACATAGGCCTTGGGAGCCTCCTCTCCCTGCAGCACAGGGAGGGCCTGGGAGGAGCAGAGAGAGGGAGGACAAGATTCAGGCAGGGGCAAATACCTGGGAAGTGCTGGCAAAGGTTGGGCATCATCGCTAGCCTCTTCATCCCCACCCTCCGCCCCAGGCTTCGTTCCTCACAAACTAGTGCTGCTCGTTTTGAAAGACCTGGCTGCTTTCTCCCTTCTTGATTTCTTCCCCAGACACCCCTGCCCAACGCCATTAGTCCAGTCAGAGGTGGCCAAGTAGCTCTTGGGGCGACTCAAGGGCTGGCCCCTCCCCACCCCTGAGCCCCCTGCCCCGCACCTCCAGAGCCGTGTGCTTGCAGTCGATGTACCGGGGGAGGAAGCTGCCTTTCCGGACCACGGTCGCGTACAGGTGGGCGTTGGCAGTGGCTCCCTTGGCTTTCCCAGACGGGGCGGGCTGAGGACAGGGTCAGGGAGGAAGACACACAAGGAAAGTGGCTAAGGGGCAGGGCCTGGCCATAAATCCAGTCCTCTGCAGACAATCACTTGGCATTGCTCCGCGGGGACTATGAGCTGATAATTAAAGCTCATGGTCCCTGTGAGCCCTTCCAAGGAGATCAATATAATAAATCTTCCCTTTTCTATTTGAATATTTCATCACCCTCACAAGGACCACTGCCTGCCTGCTCCCTCTGTAAAGATGTGATAATGGGGCCTGGGTCGTGAGTGGACAGAGAGCCGGAGGCCGGGGGAATGGTCCCAGAATCGCAGCTGAAGAGCTGAGTCTCCCAGGTAAGTCACCAGGTGCTCCGGGCTTCCCCTTCCCCGCCTGACCCTGGTGCCTCATCCTGAGGCCCTGGGTCTAGGGGTTCTCCTGGGAGTAGGGAAAGTAAAGTCCTCTTGGCCGAGGTTGAGTTATGGAAACAAGGTCGATACCAAGGCGTAGGGGAGGGGCACCAACGCAGACCGAGGAACTAATACGTGCCAGGCAATATGCTGAGTGTTCATGCCTCTCATTGCCTCTGGTCCTGCAAATGGTCGTGCCAGGACGTACCCAGTCTCAGCGGTGAGGAGTGGGGGCGGGGCTGGTCAAGGGGACTCCTATGGCTCTCCAGGTGGTACGTAGCAGACCTGGGAGAGGAACCCAGACGCTCTAACTTGACATGGTTCTTTACACTGATGGGGGAGGGGAGAGTGATGCTCTGTCCCTCTCTGGCCTAGACCCTGATACTTTAAGAGAGTAATTTCTTCTTCGCCAATGAGCACTGGGAGAGGGGGTGAACAGGGAAGGTAACCTGGAAGGTTCAGGTCATGGACTGAGGGGTCCTGAGGTTCCCAGTGCCTGGCTCATGTCTAGTTGACACAAGAGGGGTGCGTTCCTGGGAACACTTTATCGCCCACCTACTCCAGCTCTCCCAGGCCTTCGTCCTGCCGAGGCAGCAAGAGGAAAAGCCCAAAGAACTGGCTGGGGAGAGAGCATGACCTGGGCTCAGCCTGGACCTTGCTGCTCACTCGCTCTGTGACCCAGGATGAGCAGATTCCTTCCTCCGAGTGCCAGCCCCGTGTATGTGAAGTGCAGTTCACCTTGTGGATTAGAGACGGCGTGTCTAGCCAGGGACCTGAAACATAGCAGGTCGTCTAAATACTGTAAATGGTGTACTTCTTGGATTTCTAGAGGCACGCCCACTCTTTTAACAGAGTACATCTTTAATTGGGACATTCATTTCATGTAGTTGATGTTCTCTGCTCGGGCAGTTTTATGGCAATGAAGTTAGAAAATTCCAAATTCTTACAGAAGTCATTCCTTTCTACCCAGCAGGAGCTGTGTTTCTTGGAGCCACATGATCTAAGACTTGGCACACTGTGGCGTGGGCGCAGAAAGCCCAGAGCTGCTGGGGGAACAGGGAACATCAGGGAGGTTCTCATCTGCCCCTCCTGCTGCTGGTCCCAGGCTCACATGGGCCTGGGGCTCCGGCTCACCTTTATCAATTCAAAGTGGTAGGGGTGGAAGACACGCAGGTACTTGATGGGGATTTGGTAGGACATCAGCTCCTCTTTCTTTTTGTTATCCATCACCTTGAGGATCACATCTAGAGAGAGAGAGAGAAAAAAAAAAAGCGTGCAGGGTCAGATAGGGTTTAGCTGACTACCCTTCCTCCCAGTGAGTCAGTGAGAGTGAGAGGCATTGCTGAGAAGGGGGGCGCAGAAGCCAGGGTGAGGAATCCACATGCATGCACACTCCACAAGCCTGGTCTGAGCCCCTGCACATGCGTGGTACTGTTGGAACCCAAAGATGCACTTCTCTCCTATGATCCAGGATCTCCAAGTCCAGGGTTAGATGCACAGAGGTGACCTCAGCCCCCAGAGTGACAGAGTGCATGTACAGAGACACAAGTGAGCAGGAATAGCAGTCATCCCTAAGAAGGGGCCCCTGCCCTGGGTCACACAGTAAGGTCCTCAGGCAAGAAGGGGAAGGGAATGTCCCTTATGTTGCAGATGGGGAAACTGAGGCTAAATAAGGAAAGGTGATTTGCTCAAGAAATCTCTCAGTGCAAATAACGTCTATGTCAAGTACAGGAAAATCAATCTAAGCACTAGGAATAAAGCTTAGAAAACTCTTCAAAGACACTACCTATTGCTGTCAAATGTATGAACTGTGGCACGGATTCCAAAGAGGAAGCCAATGATGTGGAAATAATCCTGGCGGTCCTGCTCTAGCGAGGCCCTACCATGCGGGAGGCCTGAGGACGGGCACCTCTGAGCCATTATTCCAACAAGTCCCGCCACCGTCCCTCAAGTAGGGACCACTATCTTTGTTTTGGAAATGTGGACACTAAAGAGTTTATATAATTTGATCCACTAGCCACTGGTACATGACTGATGGTTTATGATTTGAGGAGGAAGAGAAAAGGAAGAGAGAATACATGGAAGAGGGAGGAAGACAGAACGAGGGAGTTAGGGGAAGGAAGGAGACAAGAGAGAGACCAAAAGAAGCCCGGAGAGGGAGGAGTGGAGTGGACAGGCATCCCCGAAGGAGATTCTTGGCACCCCTGGCTCTTTGCTTTCTTCTTTGAACAAGGACATTTCAGCACCGGGGACAGCTGCCAGCACAGCGGGCCCAGCAGGCTGGGAGCCAAGCGCTGCTGGCTCCTCAGGAGCTGGGTGGGTCACCTGGACTACTAGGAGGAAGCTGCTGCTTCTTCCTCCGCCCCACAGCTACCCTGGATGCCCAGAGAGGGAAGACATTTGCAAAGGTCCCTCAAGGGCTGGCCAAAGGCCCCTCAAGCGACCTGCGCTCAAAGGAAAGGTAAAAATGGGCCGCTCCTGAAGAAAGCAGAGTAAGGCCAGGTATCTAAAGTCAGCAAACCTGGGGTCTAGCACCAGCACACCAACTTGCTCTGTGACCTTTAGTCAGTCCCTCAACCTCTCTGTGCTTCACGTTTCTGCTCTGCAAAATGTTAATACTTTAAAAAACAACACCCTTCTCTTCATATTGTTGTAGGGAGGGGAATATAAAAATCTATGCAAATGTTCCTTGTGGCTGTCACTATTTTCTTCCTCATTAACCATCTGTAGTGCTCCATGTATTCACCCAGCCCTGAGCAGACAAAACACAGAGCTGGAGGAGTCCAGTGCTCAAAGCCAAAAAGCTACAAGAGTAGCTGGGGAGGCTACAGCCCCTCGCGGCCATTCCCTACCGCCAGTCCTTAAACCTGGTGGGAATTTGCTGAGACTGAACAAGGGGTGAGTACCCTGCATTCCTGTCCCCCTGTCTCTAGAGCTCTGTGGGCAGCCAACAGATGAGCTGTAATTGGGGGGAATGAACAGCTTTCCCTCTCTGTTCCTGACTGCATGCTACAAACACACTTTGTCAGCTTTTCCTCTGGGCATTGTGCCCCTCCAGCCTCCTGCTGCTTCCTTTATGTGGCCAACAAGCCATTTCTGCTGCCTGCCTGTTTTGGCCCCGACACAGGTCTGCAACTCCCCTTTGCTTTTCATTAACACATCCTTGAGTTACCTCCTGCCCTCCCCCCACCTCTTGGCCTGGCCTCCATTTCCCCACCCCCTACTGCAGACATCACCACAGCAACCGGTTCCAACCAGGTTCCAATAAGCATCCAGCTACTCCAATCTGCAAAGAGATGCCTGCCAATTTCCCTGCCTGCTTGTGGGGCTACCCTACCCGCCAGTTAGTATTGCTCCCTTCTCTGATGCTCAGATGGGCCCCAAGGCCACTGACTCATCGAGCCCTTTCCTCTAGCCATCCCAGATATGTAGAGCCCAGGCCAGGAACTCCCGCCAGAGTCCACTCACCACAACCCCTGATTTCTGGTCACCGGGTACATGCACACATACACATACACACAAACTACACACACTCATGCACAATGAGGCACACGCCACCACTCAGATCAATCTGCACACATACCACACTGTTGCAGCCAGATGCGTGCACGGACATGCACAAAACACACAGACATGCATGCCTACAGGCACGGTCACAAGCACATATGCACATGCACACATATGCTAATCACACAGGTGAGCCGACATGCAGGCATTCGCATGCACGTGTACACACATGCATCTGCATGAAATCCTGGGTCAGTTTTTCCTCTCCTTTTGCATTGTTTCATGTCACCTCAACAGTCCCAACAATCCCTTTACAGGCAGCAAACAAATCCTCTGGCTTAGCCCAGAACTGGTTTCTTCCCTCTTTGTAGCTGCTCCTCCTTGCCCCTTCCTTTCACAGTCTTTAGCAGCTGGTTTTCTGCTCGTTGTGAGGCAGACAAAGTGTTTAAGTCCCTGGGATGATTTCCAGGGGAGAAGTCAAGCTTGTCCTCTGTGGAAGGACAAGCTGCAAGACAGGAGCCTGAGATGCCTCTAGCTAAATGGGAACAGAGGTATCGTAGACCCAAGTGAGTCTGGGCTGGTGGTGCCCGATGCCAGCACCCACGGCAGTCCTGGCAGCAGACAGTCAATAATGTTGCACACCCAGCTCAAGCTCTTGCCCTGGAGTGGAAGCCAGACCCCTGCATGGAAACACAGGGTGCACATTATGCACACCCACAGGTACCGGCAATTGCCTGCACGGGGCAGAACTGGCCAAAACAGGGACTGGAAAGGATTCGGGGGTAGTGGGGTGAGGGCTGCCCCGTGTCCCCCATGAGGGTGGACCTGACAACCGCGAAGCATAGGGACCCTACTGTCTGACCGGCAGCAGTCCTGGAGGGCCAGCCGGGTAAGGAGTCACTCTAGAGAAGCAGCCAGGCCTCGAGCTACAGCAAGAACACGCAGTGGTGAGGTCTAGATCTTCCGCCTGCTGATCACTTGAGCTTGAGCCAGGCGCGTGAGTTCCCTGAACCTCAGTGTTCTCATCTAAACAGTGGGAGCGGCTTCGCTCCTCCTGAAGCTGCGATGCCAAGGAGCAACGCGTGGGAACGTGCCAGGAAGCTGTAATGTGCCGCTGCAGCGGGAGACGATGGTAATAACAACCATGAAAATAATAACAATGGTCGTAAAAACGATCAGCTTTCATTGTCTGGAAAATTCATTTATGTGGAACAACTCATTTTTTGAACAGGCTGGGAGATGAGGCATGACAGTGTTATGATTTTTTTCCTTTAAAGTGCTTTTAACTGAGCCCAGGGAGTGTTCAGGTGGCTTCCAGCTGAGCTGCAGGAGCTCTGCCTCCCACCCCCTGCACACGCCAGCCCGCCCAGCCCCCTGCTCACCTTCTTGCCCTGCATCCTCAGCTTGGATCTCCACTTGGACTGTGTCCCCCCACGTGGGGGCTTTGGTGGGCTCTGAGGTCACAGATGTCACTGCCTTGGAGTTCAGTTTCTTTGCTTCCTCAGATGTGGTTTTCCTGGGGAGGACAGGGCAGGCAGGGGCAGAGCTAGAGTGAGGGCAGCCCGCCCGCTGCCTATCCCCCTCCCCGACTCCATTGTCCATAAATCTGAGCAGAGAGTGGCCAGAGCATGAAGGGCTTCTTCCCAGGCAGACACTCATGTCATCCCAGGCCCAGGGGACACCAGGCCTCTGTCCTCCGCCGCCCTGCCTTCCCCGCATGACAACACTCTCTCAGGCCACTGCTGAGGGCTTCACATGGACTCTGGCACCAGGGCCGGGGTGGGAGCAGACACCTCGTCTGTGACTCAGCCCCTGCAGGCGCCTGCGTGCATAGGCCCCTGGCTGTCTTCTCTAGGGTCGTGCAGTGGGGGGAAGCCTGGGGCAGGGGGCTGTGTCTTGCTTGCCTGGTGACCGCTCCTTTGACCTGCACCCTCTGAGTTTCTGGGCCAGATTTCCAAGGCTCAGCTCAGCTCCCTTCTCTGTACCCTTGCGGTGGATCTCACACGTTTCTACCTTCTGCGGTACCCACTGTGCAGGGCCCTGGGCCGGGCACCCTCCTCACAAGCGGGGCAGTCCAGGCTGTTCAAGGGAAGGTGGGAGCTTGGGCGCTCTGCACCCCAGAACACCCCACAGGTATCTGATAAGCCACCAAACAGTTCAACGGGAGAGTTAATACTGTTGAGGAAGTTATTGTGTTGGGGCTATAAATGGTGCTGCTGCATTAACTGCGGCAATCATGGGGGAGCAGTCATTGTGAAGAGTCTGCGCAGGGAAGCCACACCACACGCTGGGGTGGGGGGTCAAGGGGGAGGCATTGTACACATGTGCACATTGTACCCCAGAGTGGGAAGCAGAGACGGTGCCCTGGCCAGCCCCTGCTTGCACCCCAGGAGCATTCCCAAAGGAAATATTCACCCAGAAGCTACAGCCAGTCTGCCCATGTTAGCACCAGCCTGTGATCCTTTCCTCCAGGTACCCTTCTCTCCTCCTCCAGGAAGCCTTCTGGCCACCCTCCCCCTCACTGCTCCTCAACATCCCCTGAACTTGAGTGGTCTGGCTCCTTGCTTCCTACTTATCACAGCCCTATTCCTACAGAAAACCATTTTTGTGGGTGTCCTGACCCCAAACTCCAGGGGCCAACTGAGGGGCCCCTCTCCTTCAGCTGGGAGGCTGTGTGGCAGGGTGATGACAACAGGGGCCTCAGAGTCAGACCTTCTGGACTCCAAATCCCAGTCTCCCCCTTGGCTGCTGTGTGGCTTTGGTCAAGGTGGAGAGCCATGCTGAGCCTGCCTGCCTTCGTCTGTCGGAATGGGGATGACGGGGCAGCGCTGCAGTGGGCCGGAGGTGAATGTGTGCAGTGAGTTATGTATAAAGTACCTGACATGCTGTTAAGTGCTATGAAAGTGTGAATAAGAAGTTTAACTGCCCCTGACTTGGGGTCCCCCCCATGTGACCCCCAACTCTGGGTCTGTAACTGAGGGTATCTGTCTGCTGTGATCAAGGTCTGGCATCCTGGAAAGCATACAGGCTTCATGCTTTGTTCAAGCAAACCACACAGAGGCCCTGTCCCCTGCAGGACAGAGAAGGCCGAAGTCTGAAGGCCAAGAAGATCCCTGGTCAACTTTTTAATTCTGAGATATGACATAAATAATAGGATTTGAAAAATTAAAATTAAAATTATATATATATATAAATACAGGCTTCATAGCCACACAGAAGTGGGCTTTGAGCCCACAGTTCTCTCTGGCCTGGTCGCCTTCCCTCTCCGAGCTCCGCTCCCTCCTCTGTAAGCAGTCTCTCCCTCTAAGAGCTACTAATGACTGGAAAGAAAGCATGTTAAGCTCCTGGCACACAGACTCTGATAGCTGCTGACTGAGGGGCCCAACCCGAGCCCCTCCTTGGCTCCTCTGGGTGCTGTGCTCATCCTGACAGCTGACCCAGAGTCGGAGGCCCCGAGCTCTCACAGCCTCTCCCCTTCATACTGCCTGCTCTGCTGGTATCGGTGCTCCCCTCCTCCTGGAACTGTGCTCCACCATGGGCTGCCGGACAAGGTGGGAGTCCCAGGGAGGTGTGTAAGGGGCGGAGGGGTGTCCTTGTACACCCGAACATCAAACCAGGCTGGCAAAACTACTCCAGAGTGGGCCCGAGGATTCTGTCACCTGGGGGCTTGCCAGTGCACAAAGACAGAACCAGGAGAGATGAACTGAAGTCACAAGCAGCGCGGTGCCAGCTTTAAGGCCTGTCCTGCCAGCCTGTCCTCTGCTCTCCTGTGGCTTCTGCCTCTTGTCCCCTCCCCTTCTCTACCCAAGCTTGGGGTGGCTGGCAGTAGGAATTCCAGGTGGAAAAAATGGGGCAAGGCCAAGGGAGACTTCACTCAGGCACAGAAGGAGTTAAGCAAACATGTCTCGTCCTTTCCTCTGACAAGGAAGAGGGCAGTCCGGGCTAGGTGAGGGGAGATGAGATGTCTAGGAGGGGTGAGGCCCCAGGGGATGGAGGAAGGCTTTTAGCAGGTGGAGGGAGGCTGTCAGGGTAATGGATTTTCCTGGCACAGCTGGCTCCTCTGAGCCTTGATGCTCTTCTAGAAACTGGAGAGCTAGAGGGACCTCTGGTTCCTCACAGAACAGGAGAAGGGGACTAGGCCCCATCTGTGGCCCCAGCTGGGCAGGAGGGGTATCCAGGACTCCAAGGCCTTGATGGAGCAGGGCTCCCAGTGTATTTAAGGGCCCAGGGGTCCTCTCCAGGACCTGCCACCCCAGGACCATCGGCAAGACTGACACCCTGCCCTGGCTCTAGCAGTTTTGGTGTGGGACACATCTTGAGGCCTAAACTTAATCCAGACATGGGGAGGGGCAGGCACACCAGCATGGTGTGTGGGTGCCTTCAGAGGCACCTTGCAGCTGTCTTTACCCATGAGCTGCCAGAAAATGTCAACTCCCTCAAGCTGAAGGGGGATGTGCGTGACAAACTCCCACTCACCAGGAGGAGGAGGCCAGGTCCAAGCACAGTTGTAATTGGGAGAGAAGGACTTTACTTTTCTTATGTGAGGTCATCACTTAGGGAAATGTGTTGCTTCGTTCCGGGGACCACAGCTGTGAGCGGAAGTGGCCAGTGGAAAGCACAGGAGGGAGAGAGGGTGTGAGCCAGCTCCTGAGCCGCTCCCCACTCTGCACCAGTCCTCTGAAATGCCCTCTAGGCACACACTCTAAGGTGTGTGAACATCTCCATGGGTAGAGCACATGTCCCTGTCTCCAGGAAGTCTCCCCTGACCAGCACCTCCCCCCAACACAAGCACACACACACACACACACACAGGCTGCCCCACAGAGGTGCTCCCTGGATCCAATCTCTGCATCATCCCTCATCTGACAGCCCTGAGGCTGTCTCTGACGGGTGCCAAGCTCACCTCCTGCTCTATCTGGCCTCTTGGTCTCCACACCCCTCAAAGCATCCGCATATGCACAACAGTCAAGGTCCGGCCCCTCCGGGGTGGGGTTGGAAGCCCAGGACACAGATCACTTGGCTTGTCCTGCGTGCCAGTCCCAGCCAGGGCAGCCTCCAGAAGATCAGGAGAAAGGGGAGGGCCCCAATATGGTCTGTTCTGGGCCCCTATCTGGGCAGGCCCCTGATTCCTGAAAGACTAGAGGGATGTTTCCAGAAGTGCTGGGAGAAGAAATGGTCGGGCAGGATGAGGATGGACAAGGACAGAACCTTAGGTGGATGGCTGGCGGAACAAAATGTGACCTTTGATTGCCCTCCACCTGCACCCTCCGTGCTTCCCACATCCTCCGGGAGACAGTCTCCCAGGCCACAGGCCTAGCACCATCTCCAGAAGGCACAGAAAAAAACAATAACCGGTTCCTAACTCTGGAACCCAGCTTTAGGCCGCAGGCACAGGGCTGGAGATCGGCCTCTGCAGAGATGGTTCTCTGAAGGAGGTGGTCAAAGGCTGGATTCTTGTGTTTCTCTCCCTGCCTGGACTGACCCGGGCAGGGAAGGTTTCCTAGAGGAAGCAGGGCTTGCACGATGAAGAGGGGCCTTCCCAGTAAGAGGACAGAGCTTGAGGCTCTGAGGGGCCATGCGCTGGCTCCTGGGCTAGGCTTGGGAGGAACTGGCTGGCTGATGCCGGGTCGTGGGTTGGGAGCACGGGCTGGTGGTTGGAGAGGGTTGCAAGGCTGCCTTCCTTCCTGACTTCACTCCCTCTCCAGTTCCTTCTCTTCGTGCCCACATGCAGGATCCTCTGAGGTCAGGTAGGCAGAAGGGAAAAGCCCCGGTCCTCACAGCTGTGCCCTTGGCGCGGCCCCCCTGGAATTGGTAGGCAAGAAGATTCGGCCAGAGGCTCTTCAAAGCAAGAGCTGAGGTAGGAGGCCGGGAGTGTCTGGCCTGCATCTTCTTTTTCTCTTCTCCCCCACTTCGTCACTCAGCAGCCCATTAAGGGTGCCCTTGGCCTCCCCCAGCCCCCGGTGCAGCTGGGCCCTCAGGGTCTGGCGCTCCTGGGAGGCTGCTACTTAGGCATGAGCTGGACTTTCCTCGGCAAAGCAGCGGGCTCTCCTCCTGGGTTTTATTTATTAATTGGGCTCTAATGAACCATCACTAATTGCTGATGGCACGACACCACGACAGGTGGGCTGAGTTAAAGAAAAACTGACTTTGGAGCAAAGGGGGTGTAAACTGGAAGCCAGCCCACTCCCATCCACGTGGGCATGGCTCCCCCTGCACTGACCTCGGGGAGGGGGTGCTGCTCTAGAAATAAGGAGTGGCACACTCCAGGAACCCCCGAGGTGAGCACACTGGCAAAGGGGGAAGCTTTCCGTCAAACAGGAATGATGCTCCCCAGTCCCGCAGGTAGAGACCTCCCCTGTGGCCTGGCTTGCTGGGGACCCCAGGAGCATCTTAGGCCGAGGGGGAGGGTCCAGCTGTCAACAGCATGGCCCTGAGGGGAGGTAATGGCAGGCCCCTGGGCCAGGTGTAGCCCTGGGAGGTCTCACTAAGACCTAGCGTCCTTCTTTTTTTTTTTTT